AATGAGGGTGGTTGGCTCCTTTGTCAAAGATGAGGTGGCTGAATATGTCTGGAGTTGTTTCTGCATCTTCTAATCTATTCCACTGATCCTTGGGTCTGTTTCTTTGCCAGTGCCATGCTGTTTTCACCACAGTAGCTTTGTAGTATAGTTTCAAGTTGGGGATTGTGATACCCCCGGCCAAGGACACCTAGTCTTAATGTTTGGTTAATGTTGCTATTTAAGACACCTAGTTGTATAATGTTATATGGGCCCAAACTGATGTAGAAAGTACCTATTTCTACTACTGGGTCCAGATATCCTAAATAAATTCTGTCCAGGGAGACTTTGGATTTCCTTTTTAAAAGTTGACCTCTAGCCTGGTAACACAGGAGGGACACAATAGGAGTTAAAGATTATTTATAAAATAAGAAATTGGGTGTCATTGTGGGATCTCTGCCCAGTTCCTATGACCTCTCCTTCCTAATATTAGCACCTTGAATTTCCATTGAGAAAGTACTTCTCCACCAGTTATTCACATAGACTGAGTGGGACTGACCTCACTTGGAATCCAATGGTGGACTCTGATTAGCTGAACAAAGCATCCTCTCCTTTGGCCTATTATAATTTGTTTAGAAACTGACACATGATTCAAGCTAGTCTAATCAAAGTGAAGCTCACCATCAGTAATGGAAGTTCATAAATACTCTCTTCTCCATGGAAGGTGATCATGTGAGGATCTGAATGCTGAAACTGCCGTCACAATGAAGGAAGAACCTGGAGCTGCTAAGTGGTCACTGTGAGGAGCTTGAAGATGGAGCTACCTAGATTTTAACTTGGATCCTGAAACCAGGCATATTATTTGAATTACTTAGTATGTAAACAAACAAAGACCAAAAACCAAAACAACTCTCCTCCCCCAAAACCCACAAACAATTCAAGTGTATGTGTGTGTGTGTGTGTGTGTGTGTGTGTACGTGTGTGTGTGTGTGCTTTGCTTAACCAAATTTGGATTTTCTATTGCTTGCCACAGATTTGTAATCAACAGAAGCAGTAATATGGTAGAGTGCAAAGAAGATGGCATTGGAATAAGGAAACTAGTTTTTGGGATTCTGCACATGGTGCCTGATTTGTGGTTCTTGATTCCCCAGCTGAAGAAAATGCTTAGCCCCATTTTCCTTATAGGACTATTTTGAGGGGGAAGATACATCATTCCTGTGCTCCAAGTTGATTTAGAGTTGACTTTCTGTAGATCAAGGTCCACTTTATTCTGTTCACTGTGATACAGCAAAGCCCTTCAGAGCTGTTTTAGTCTTGCTTCCCTGGCAGTTGCACAATCATCATATGATGCAATTTATGTATTGGTTTCATAGACATCTCATTTTGTTAGAGTCCAAGGGAAAGATTTGTCAGTCTTTCTTGGGTATTTTCCTTTGGGCAGGAGTGGAAGGCACAGAGTAGGAAGATGACTAAGCTGAATGTCATGCTGCTTCAGATGGAAATGATCAGTTGGAGAATGGATGACCATGTATTAGGGATACTGAGTGTGTATATCTACACCTACACCAGACTTGTGTGAGTTCTGCATTTATTTCCAGGCAGAAATTTTTAGGCAATCAGCACAGTGTACTATTAGAATAGGAAGCAGATAGCCAGGCTGTCTGTGTAATGATGGGCTAGTAATTAAATGAGTTAAGTTTTGTAAGGTCTCAGTTTTTCTCATCTATTTAATGGGTATCTAATACTTGCCCTGGCAAGCTCACATTGTTGATATGGGAATAAAATGATAAAATGTCAGTGAAAATGCTTTGTGTTTGCAGAAAGCCCAAGTAAAATGCTAAATATGCAAAAACTCAGAAGCTGCTCATAGTTTTAGACCTAGTTCTTATTCACTGAAATACTTTGCAAAGGGAATTCTTGCTTTATGAATTACATTTTCCAGCAGCATATCTCATAAAGTATGGTAAATGTTAAGCTTCTGAAGATGTTCAGGATTCAGTGTGTACATGTAGTTACTGTCTAGAGAAGGCCCATGGATTGTTGTCATCACCATCATCATCTTGTCTGTCTGTATCTTATCACTGTATCCTCATCACTTTCATTTATCAAACGCCAAAGGCAGGGTTAAGTTGATGATTTACATACATTCTTTAATTTAAACCTTACAATATCCTTGTGTGTTATTACTTCCTTTTTGCATATGAGAAAATCAAGATTCAGAGACTGAGTTTCCAAAGATCACATAGTGGAGAGCTGTGCCATAACTCAAGCTCTTGCTCTTTTTACTGCAGCACACTGCCTCTACCAAGGGGAGCTTTGGAATTAGACCTGGAAGTTCTGATCTCATTCCATTGCTTCAGCAATTCAACACAAAGGCTCTGGTCCAACCCTTTTCCTTTTGGGTCTCAGTAAGTAATATTTCATCCCTCTCTGCTCTGATCCCACCCTCATTGCCAGATTCTGGAACTGTCTGTGTGTTTCCATTCTATAGTTCAGCTTCTCTCCCCAGGCATTTGAGAAAGGCATTCTCTACAAAAAAGGGAAAACACATTTTATTAAAGCAAACATGCAGTCCTCAGCACTTTTACTTATCTTATTTATACACTGCAGTGCGGCTTTCTATGACCTAGTGATTATCATTTCCCAGAGCTATCATCATTTTAAAGCTACCTGTTCATCCTGCTTCAGCAGATGGTACTATGCTAGGAGTATTGTAAGAGCTTTAAAGAAAGGAAAACATAAACAAAGGAAAGATGTGTGGTTAGGTCAGCGAGAGGAAGAACTCACTTGCATTGTCTCTGGACACTGCTCCACCAGCTGTGAGGTGGTGAGAACTAGAGGTCTCTAACCACTGGGGAAGTTTATGTAGTTATATTGTCCCCATTGAGAATACATGTCCTAGAGCAATGGTTCCTAAAACTCTGTACTTGATGTACCTCTTAATATTTTCATTGTAGTTTTAAAATACATTTTGAGGAATGCAGAATAAAATACATTTTTGAGGAAAAAAATTCAAATTGAACATTTAAAGAACTGCAACCACTGGAAAAGTTTTGAAGACCATTCCTGTGCAGCCTTCTGGTTGTGGTTCTTTGGAATCAGATAGGAGAGCTTGAGTCTGTTCCCAGTTGCACCAACATGACACCATGGGCCGGTCTTAGAGTTTGAGTTTCTTCATGAGCGAAATGGGTATAAGAATGAATAAGAATGAATATCTACCTCCTGTGATTCTATGAGAACTAAAAGAGGTAGTCAGGGCAGTATAAAGGGCACCCAGCAAAATTTAGCTTTATTTTACTTTACTACTCCGTGTCTTTGTATTTTCTTCCATCCATCATAAAAACCTGTGTTTGAACACACAGCAAACAATAGCTGCTGAAGAAAGGAGTCCAGTGTCACTCTAAATAACTTTGTTTTCCTTTTCCTGGACATGAAACAAATAAGAGTATAAGTACTCTCCTGAAACTCTATAACCCTATTATGAATCCTGACTTTTTAAATGAAACTGGTGGAGCCATTTAACTTTTTTATATTCTGAGTAATGTAAATTTTGTCTTATAAAAGTCATTTGTTTAATTTATACTGCTGGTTTCTTTTGCTCATTGAAAAGAAAGTTCTGTCCTTTTATTTGTTTATTTTTTATTTGTAAGAGAATCTTTTATTGTCTATGCCTTGTATTTGAGTAACATTTTGGG